AAAAACTTTCTGTGGGAAATCATAAGAGTGTAACATTAAAGAGCAAAAGTTTAACACTGAAAGGTAAAATAAAGTAACTAGTAATGTAGCATACTCGCATACAAGTCAGGATTACATTAATATGAGTTTTTCCCATTATTGTTTCCAAAGTTTAGAAAATACGTAAAGTTGTTGTGTTTGAGCAGATGTTACGTTTGTAGCTTCAGCTCTTTAACATCTGTGTGTTTGTGCAGCTCCACAAATATGCTTTCAGCTTATTTTGGAACTTATATCCTTGTCAACGTACACTTCACTGCCTGCAGAGTAAAAAACACAGATAAAGGAACATTTGGACATTTTTAGACATCTGTTAGCTTAAAAGCTACTTCAGGCCGTCCCCCTCACTCAGAGCGTCCCTCCACGCTCGATTTGATCAATTCAAGTACCATGATCGTCTTCTATTACATATAGATTTTAAAATAAATCAAATATACTCATTTTACAATTTAAATATATTTTTTTAACCCAAAAATCTTAATTTTGTTTATACTTTTCTGAGGTATCCATACTGCGTAACGACGACGTACTTTTGTAGGTTTTTAGCTGCTGAAGTACTTCTGATGAAGACATCAGTGTGGTCAACAGTGCCTTTGGCCAAGGCTGTAAACTCATTTTTTCTACGTTTGGATCTGTGTGATGTCACAGAGAGGGGCAGCCAATCAAAGAACGTCGTGTCAAAAGGGGGTGGGGCTAAAACAGCTTGTATCAGAGAGAGGAGGAACTGAGATGGTGCATAAGATAAAGAAGAGTTATTATGAACTCTGAATCATGCAAAGCTAATGTAACACCATAAAAACATGGTGATGGAAATAAACAGAGCAGTAATGAATCCAGGACCGAGCGTTACTGCAGACCGCTACATCTTCCATTAACGCCACGCTGGCTTGTGCTAACTCTGCAGTCTTTACCTGGGCCGTGTGGATTCAGCACAGGCTGAAATAAACCCAACGATCCTGTGAAGCTGTGGCTGTGATTGGACGTTTAGCCGTCTCGATGAAACTCAAACACATTTTAAAATCATCAAAACAAAGAAAGCTTTGAGAAAACGTCACGTTTGGCTGATCCTTCCAGCAGCTCGGTGGATTGTCTGCTTCAGCGTCTATCGTGACCGATGCTCTGTTTTACCGTAAAAATAAATGCTGCAAACCTGTGGGCGGAGCTTCAAGAAGTGATCTTTCTTCCTTGGCATCCTCGTTACTCCAGCCGCTCACACTGAAACAGTGTTTTTATGACTACATCAGCAGTTTTAACGTTAGAACACGAACAACTACAAACAGTGGAGATCTGGGCGTTGGAAAAATTGTCATATAAAAGCTGTTTGTTGTTTTAACTGTCCTGCGGCGTCTTCTTCTCTAGCAGGGTTCAATTTTCAGATGGCAGTACACCAAACACAGCTAAAGAACACAGAGTTCTTTAAATGAAAGGTTAGGAGGAGTGGTCCAATGTTGGAGGTCACCAGTAGACGATTTCACATATTTGTGGGAGGGGAAGCAGGATGGAGGAGGCCTACTGCTGGTCCCGGCTGCTGAGGAAGTCTGCGGAGGATCTGTGTGTTTCTGCTTCAGTCCTGTGAGAAGATAACTCGGGCGCTCTGGCATTCTCCTCTCTGACTCCTGCAGAAACACAGATGATGCAGCACTCAGGCCATCACCACATTAAAGAGCATCACGGAGGCGACGCGGCGAACGAGAGAAAACAGCTTTTTGCCTAAAGTGGACGTCAGACTGCGAGGATGCACCAAAACAACATCTTCCTCAACACGTGCATGCAAACCTCAATGAACCGAAGCCACGCTGTAAAGACGAGCGTGCTCCGCACCCACGTGGCCGACTGCAGTGACACACGGCTCGTTGCTGCCGCTGGCTGAGGCTTCATGTTTAGTTTGGGATGTTTGACGACGCGGCGAATGCGTCACACACACCGCGCTGTTCATCTGTGTTTTAATGAGTTTTCATGACGCCCAGATTTGTAAAAACCACAGAAATGAAAGAAGGCTGCACGAGTGCATACCTGCCCCCCCCTCAGTGCGGGGGCTGCTCTCCAGGTTGGCAGAGGGCGGCTGGGCCGCGGAGCCGGAGGAGGGGGTGACGGGTAATCAGGCGGAGTCTCGTTCTCGTCTCCCGATAGGCTCCTGGGGACACCTGTTACCATGGTGCCGGAGAGGCTGACGGGTCGCTTAGCGATGGGCAGCTTCCTCTCTGGGAGACCAAACAGGTTTTGTTAAAGAGACAGTACAACAATCACGTGCTCATGCAGCTCCTCCTGCTCCGCCCTTTCACCGTTTCTCCTCTTTCTGTCGCGACTGAAATGAAAACTGTTTTTTGGTCTGTTTCATCTTTTTCTTTTTTTTAAGTCACATCAGCACACGTTTTGTTTTTGTTGGTCTATGATAGTTTGGGTCTGTGGCTGCAGCTGCTCAGTGTTTCCTGTTACTGACATCGTTAGGAGAATGTAACGATGTAAATGTTGGTCTCTGTGGGTGTGACTGAAGAACGCCTCTAATGTAAGAACGCTACAGGGAGGCGGAGCATTGTTTATTACTAAGCAGCAGTTTAACACGCAGCGTCCTGAAGGCTGCACCGCGGCACGTTTGTTACTCAGCGATTTAAAGAGACGCCGCCTCACTTTTCTTTTGTCCTTTGTACTGCTGAGACTTCTTCCTCTGTCTGGATGCTGCTGACTGCAGGTCTCTGGAGCCTGAAACAAACAAAAAAACACACCAGTTTACCCGTCCTTGTCACCACGGAAACTACAGATCAGGTGGGACTTACCTGCGTTAACAGCCGGAGGCTGCAGCTGGTAGCCGGTCAGCTGACACCAGCCCACCGGGTACAGGTCGGGCGACTCGCAGTCCACCCACTGGTCGTACTCGTCCTCCCAGCCGTCAAATGTATCCGTAGCAACCGGTGGACGATGCGCGTGACGGTGGCGACGCAGACGAGCCGCGGCTCCATGAGGTCGACAGCCTCCAGCTTCATACCGGGGCGGAACCCGTGGTTGGGGATGTCCTGATGGAGGACACGGACATGACGCGGCCGTTAACACGTGGGCGTTTCTTTGTTTCTAGTCGCCGTTTCGGTTCATTTGCCAAGAAAAACAAACTAAAAAGGCAAAATTGAAACTTTCACTCGGTTCCCTCCACACAAACAAACCCTGCAGTCCTAAAATACTCAGAAATATAAACGTTAGATATGCAAAGTCTTCATGCAGAAAAATTACCAAACTGCTTTTTATTCAAACTGTTTATAATTCTGTGCATCAGCAACATGGAAACGTCTGTTTGCTGTGAGTTAAAGTTACAGATGACAGCCTGTGTGCAGTGAGAAGCTGAGCGGACACAAACCTCTAATCAGCTCACATCAGTGTCAGACCTGCTGCAGACGGCGTTTTTGGGACAGATTTGTTTTCATTCAAACAACAATAAACGCATCAGACACCAACCTGGTGCGTGTTCTGTTGCTGGACCTCCAATTCTTTCTTTAATGATATCTTTGGTTAATTTACCTTCCATATATTTAACTAGAGTCACCTCTACGATGACGATGGTCTGCTGTAAGTGAGTGTAGACGATGAAGCTCCGCCTCTAACCACTGAGCCAAAAAACACTTCATGCGCTCTGGACTGAGCCGTGACATCGTCCTGGGAGTCTTTCTAATAATTTTAGTTCAACATGTCTGCTCTATGTTTCTACATCTACTCCCAGAGCTGCTCAGACTGCATTAAGTCATCATGCTGATGAATCACTGCTGACTTCAGCCCGTTTGAGCCTCACCCTGTTGAACAGGTTCACCGGTGCAGCCACAGACTTGCTCTCCTTCAGATATTCAAACCATCTGAAGGGCAGACTGGAGTAACCTGGACACACAAAGACAGGATCAGTTTGATCACAGTGCACACTACAGGGCAGTTTCAACAACACGACCACAGCTCCGTGAAAGCTGCAATGCTTTGAGAATGGAGTGAACTCCCCAAAGAACAAAACACGTTTTCAAATGTTTCCTGAGACATAATATGACCAAAAAAAACACGGTTCTGCAAATATCTTCAGAATAATGCTCATAGTGAGGAACTTTATTCTTTACTATGCTGCGGCACCAGTCTGCCCGTCGATCTCCGGCTCCCATCACTCGTGAACAAGACCCCGAGACACTTAAACTCCTCCACTTGGGAGGAGTTTCAGGGTCTCGTCCCTGACCCGGAGTGGGCACTCCACCCTTCACAACATCGTATCATTAAAAGGGAGAATCTGGAGGGATCTGTGTGCAGGGACGAGGCTGGAAATGAGGCTGGGGCAGCGTTAACGACAGCTGCAGGTTAAAGCTGCTCCCACAGCTGCGTGCCGCCGCCTTTCAAAGGCACTCCTACCTCTGGGCGGCGTCAGCTCGATGTTGTTAATCTCACAGAAGCCAGCGGGGAAGATGGAGGGAGACGTGGAGTGATAGCAGAACCAGTCCGAGCCATCGGCCGCCTCCGAGCCGTCTATGCCGATCATCAGGTACCCGTCTGCCAGGACCTGAGGAGGAGGCGACGTTAGATGGAGCCGGAGGGCGGAGCAGCCGGTTTCAGAGTGAGCGCTCAGCTCGCTATTACCTTCCTCACTGTGGCCACGCAGATTGCAGACAGATTCAGAGGGTCAATGGCCTCCAGCTTCATCCCATCTTCGAACCAGCGGCCGCTCTGATCCACTTCCTTCACCTTCAGGAAAAACAGGATAAATCTCATTCCTGTTCCTCCAAGCTGCAGGACAATCGTTCATCTCTGGTTCTCCTCCACAGCGTCTTTGTCCCGTCGCCCTCCCCTCAACCCAAGGTCACCGCAGACGGACGACCCCCCAAGCCTGGTTCCTCCTTCCTTTTAAAAGGCAGTTTTTCCTTCCCACTGTCGCCAAAGCGCTCGCTCATGTGACGTTATCTTATTGTGGCTTTTCCTCTTCTCTCTGTGTTATTGAGCAGCTGCAGGCGACTGTTGTTCTTATTTGGTGCTAAATAAATAAAACTGAATTGAATACATCAGTAACATCATTATTACTTAGATAACCATGACTGTTAGTGAAACATCACTGTGTCACACAGTTAGCACTGTAGGAAATATGCTGAGTGGGCGTGACTCATAGAATCGCCAACAGTGGACGAAAACCCTTCAGGAAATATTTTGAATGAAATAAAAGACCTTCTGACTTATAATTAGAAACATGTTAAAATTAAAGCCTACATAAATGCAAAATTGATATAAATTGATTTTATGTCCATGAGGACCCAAACTCCACAGGTGGGACCAGATTACAATCAGGTAACTCAGGTGTCAGCGGATGTAGCAAAGCCAGAGGCGACGTCGGGTGAAGCTCACTTTGGCAAACAGCTGTCCAGGTGCGTCCATCTGACCGTCCAATTTCTTCGACACATCTGGGAACAATCACACAGTACATGTTCTTCATCCTCATGTTACACGCTGGCTTAAATTCACTGTTTTCTACATGGAGTCTGGTGGCCTGGGATCGAATCACCTGACCCACCGGATCGTTTGAAGCGGTGTCCAATGGATCGCGACCATCCGATGCTGTGGATCAGAGGGCTGTACATGTGACACCAGAAGTCGTCGGTCCCATCGTCGCACTCCTCGTACACGAGCCGGAGACGACCGCCGATCACCTGCGACGACGCAAACGTCAGGATAACATTCACGCAAATAATACTAATAAACTGGATAAGCAGAAGAGATAGATCAACAGCTGTATCAGAGGCGGTGGGTGGAGCACCTCAGGGCTCCGTCACTGGTCTACTGATTTATTCCTTTAGATGTTATTTGTTTTGAGAAACTACACAAATGTACGATTAAAATGCGCTGCTGAGCCTCTGGTCCTGCAGCTTTGAGTGTTTCCAGGTAATTTGACATAAAAAGTTATTTAAAATACACAAATACTCATAAACAACGACTCTGGCAAAGAGACATTTGATCTGCCGCCCAGAGATGCTTAGTTTACTGTGACTCACCTGTTCCACCAGAGCCACTCGAGTCCGGCACAGGTGAGTCTTATCCACAACCTCCACCCTCATCTGTTTCTTGAAGGGGAACTGCATGCTCTCCTGCACCTGAACAGACACCTGAGTTCAAACTCAGTTTCAGGACGAAGGTTATTTAAAAAATGGATTACGTGCGTTTTCTACGTCACCTTGGACGCGAAGTCTGGCGGCAGAGTTTTGGAGCCCGTGAGTCTCTTGATCAGGAACGTTTTCCAGTTGGAGAAGCGGTGCAGGATGGCTGAGAACACACACACACAGATATAAGTTTACAGCCTAAAAAGAAGTCTATTTGTTCCTGTGAACCTGATTACTCAGGACTGTGAAACTGATCTGAGGTCTGAGGACAAATCTGCAGACAGGAAGTGACCCTTACACTGAGGGGGGACCAGAGGTTTCCCTCCAGCAGCACACCAGCCCACCGGGTGGATGTCTGGCACGCACAGATTCAACCAGAAGTCTCGTGTAGAGTCGCAGTCGAAGCCCTCGTATCTCAGCAAAGCCTTAAAACCTGCACGTGCACGCACACACGCGCACACACGCGCACACACACGCGCACGCACACACGCACGCACACACGCACACACACACACGCACGCACACGCACACACACACACAAATTAGTTTCATCACCCAGATGGTTCAAACTCTGCAGGAGCCCAACAAATATTTCCATCTCATCTGAACAAAATGCAAACTCAAGATTTACGTTAAATTAAGGTCAATTTAATGTTATGTTAGAGCACAGGTGTCAAACTCTGGCCCGCGAAGCCAAATGTAATTGGCCCGCGAAGCCATACCAAATTACTATCAGAGCTGGCCTACTGGTATCATACAGCTAATATATATATATTGTTTAGTATTAAGCTTTGCTTGTTCCATATTCAGTTTTTCAGCAAAACTTGTTTTAGTCCATAAGAAAAGATTCATTCTTATATCTGGAGGAATAAATATATTTCAATAAATATTAACGTTAGCCCGCGACTTGGTTCCAGTTTTGAATTTTGGCCCACTGTGTATCTGAGTTTGACACCCCTGTGATAGAGTGTGTGTGTGTGTGTGTACATGTGTACCAGCCAGTTTGATGATGCCAGCGATCCAGTAAACCTTCATGGGCAGCCCGCTGTCAGTGTTCGGCACCTCGACCCGGATGCCTTCGCTGATGCCTCCCCACGAATTTCCCATCGGGACCTGACAAACACACAAAAATAAAATTAACGAAACATCCGACCGCACGCACGGCGCCAGTTTCTTATTCCCGAGGTCTGAGATCGACCCCGAGCGAGACACACGTCCTGTTTTACAGCTCAAACAAATTCACACAAACTCTGAAGTAAGCAGCGGCGAGGTCGTCTGAGCTGGTTTCCTGTCTGTCAATTCAAAGGTAAGACGCACAACATCATCTGCGTACGTGACACGCTTCACGAGAGCCCTGGTGATCCAAGCGTGAATCAGTGAAAACTGCGCAGGGTTAAAGCTGCAATGTTTGACCTTTGACCTCGTGTTTGAATCTCACAAACGCTGGTGACTCTGTAGTCAGGGGGAGGAGCTTCTTTCTGATGATTAACGCAGTGAACTCGTTTCGTCGTGCTAGTATCGACTGAACACTGTTCACAGGGAGCTTCATCATAACGGTGAGAAGGACTCTGCTTGTACCCACATGTTGGAAACAGCTAACCGGCGCTCCCATTACATCTCCGTCTCCAAGGTAACGACCCCAGTCGAACAACTCCATGGACACTGCGAAGAAAACAGAAGGTGTGATGTGTAAAGAGAAACCTGACACGTTCATCAAGAAGTGCTCAGTGGCACAACGGCAGGAAAGATTCAACTCCTCTGAGAACTGATGCAGAGCAGAGTTCATCCGATGTACGATTTAAAAATCAGCTCGTATTTATTACTCTTTGAGAAGAGCGACCGCTTCGTTCTCATTTCCTGCCGTACGTGTTAAACACGAGCTCGGTGCGTGTGCACTCGTCAGACACGCCGAACCCTCATGTTGAAACTGTTTTTTCTCATCATGGATCAGTATGATGTCACATGGAGCAGACAGAAGCCCCACCCACCTGCTCTTCAAATACTTTGCAGCCAATCAAAAGAAAGTTATTTTAAAGGGGGAGGGACTAGAAGATGAGCCACACCTACAATCTGACCGTGTTTGTGTTTAACATGTAACCAATGAGAAAGTCGATTTCAGTCCCAGCGTGGACGTGTCAGCGCTGCTGAACTCACCGCTCTTCTTGACCCCGCCCTGCTGGTTGGCCTGCTGCTGAGCGTAGGCGGCGAGTTTGGTCATCAGAGGCTGCTTCTGCAGAACCTTGGCTTTCTTGGTAGGAGGCTTTCCCTGACAAACACAGACACACGGAGCCCGTCACACCTAACATCAGAAAAGTTCAAGGCAAAGTGTTCCTACACCCAGGGACCCCTGCTGGTTTGACGGTGAAGCGCCAATAATGAGATAAATACGAACAGGTAAAACAAACAAAGTGTAGAAATAAACGGAACCAGGCTCAGGGAGGGGCGGGGCCATCTGCTGTGATTGGTTGGGGTGAGAGAAGGAAGACAGGATAAAGACATGCTGTGGAAGAGAGACAGAGGTTAATAACAGATATGATTCAATGCAGAGAGGTCTGTTAATACATAGTGAGTGAGAAAGGTGACTGGAAAGGAAAAACTCAATGCATCATGGGAATCCCCCGGCAGCCTACGTCTATTGCAGCATAACTAAGGGAGGATTCAGGGTCACCTGGTCCAGCCCTAACTATATGCTTCAGCAAAAAGGAAAGTTTGAAGCCTAATCTTGAAAGTAGAGATAGTGTCTGTCTCCTGAATCCAAACTGGAAGCTGGTTCCACAGAAGAGGGGCCTGAAAACTGAAGGCTCTGCCTCCCATTCTACTTTTAAATACTCTAGGAACAACAAGTAGGCCTGCAGAGCGAGAGCGAAGTGCTCTAATAGGGTGATATGGTACTACAAGGTCATTAAGATAAGATGGGGCCTGATTATTTAAGACCTTGTATGTGAGGAGCAGGATTTTGAATTCTGGATTTAACAGGAAGCCAAAACAGGAGAAATCTGCTCTCTCTTTCTAGTCCCTGTCAGGACTCTTGCTGCAGCATTTTGGATCAGCTGAAGGCTTTTCAGGGAGTTTTTAGGACTTCCTGATAATAATGAATTACAGTCGTCCAGCCTGGAAGTAATAAATGCATGAACTAGTTTTTCAGCGTCACTCTGAGACAGGATATTTCTCATTTTAGAGATGTTGCACAAATGGAAGAACGCAGTCTTACATATGTGTTTAATATGTGCGTTGAAGGACATGTCCTGGTCAAAAATGACTCCAAGGTTCCTCACAGCGTTACTGGAGGCCAAGGTAATGCCATCCAGAGTAAGAATCTGCTTAGATACCATATTTCTAAGCTTTTCAGGGCCGAGTACAATAACCTCAGTTTGATCTGAATTAAGAAGCAGAAAGTTAGCGGCCATCCAGGTCTTTATGTCTTTAAGACATTCAGTTTAACTCATTGGTGTGTGTTATCTGGCTTCATGGACAGATAGAGCTGGGTGTCATCTGCATAGCAGTGTAAATTCAATTCAATTCAATTCAATTTTATTTATATAGCGCCAAATCACAACAAAAGTCGCCTCAAGGCGCTTCATAGATACAGAGAAAAACCCAACAATCATATGACCCCCTATGAGCAAGTATGCTATGTGTTCCTACACCCCCGTTACCTGCAGCCTGGCGAGGATGCTGGCCTTCTTGGAGTTGGATGAGTAGCTCCTGGAGCACGAGACGCTGCAGAAACGTTTGGTTTTGCTGTAGAAGGCGTCTCTGACGCCGACCATGCCGCACATCTCACAGGTCGCTGAGGAGAGCAGAGAGAGAGCAACTGAGGACGCAGATCGACCGACTCAGAAAACCAGGTCCTGATTCTAGACGTGAACTGACCCATGCCGGCCTTCCCGTCGGGGTACGTGTACACCTGACCGTTGGTCTTGATGAGCGTCAGTGAAGAGGAGGGGTTTAGCTGAGTGACCCCTCCTCCTAACTCTTCGTCCTCGCTGTCCTCGGGACTAGAGGCGCCGCTCCCCCCGCTGGACTCGGTGCTGCAGCTGCTCCGGTCCTCATCCAGACCGTCCAGCATTCCGAACGAGTCCCGCCGCTTCCGGGACTGACGCTCCACCTGAGGACGGAAGACAGTCTAAAGTCACAAAGACCCCCAAAAAGCCATTGACCCCATTAAAACTGTATTTAATCCACAGAAACACAATCGTAACCACAAATATTTTATTAAATGTTCTCAGGTTGTAACAACAAAGATCTGTGAAGGTCATGAATATTCCTTCTCTGGTCCATCCTCTGACCTCTACCCATCATCACGTCGCAGCAGTGGGTTTGGAGCTCCTGCAGCGCTGCAGCACAGAGAGGCTGACTGACAGCACAAAGACAGAAGCCACAACACCGGGTCACCTCCAGGATTCCCCTCACTTCCGCTCACTCTGAGCCCCGACTGCGGGGTTAAACCTGTGCACCCCCCGCCCCCTCTGCCAGCATTAAATTCGGCGGCATTAAATTTGTGCAGCACTGCAGTCTGCTCCTGGAAAAGCCGTTTTTCGGTGCTGATCCACGGTGACGCTCCGCGCTCTGAATGTACGAGTATGTAGCGGGAAAAAGAAAAACGATAAACACGTTTACTTTTTATTTAATTAAAACGTGTTTACCGGAATACATGCATGCCGAATTAAAAAACATGTTGTCAGGTTTATGAAACTTTTATAGACAACATCCAGTCCAATGTTTGTCTTTGGAAACAAGCAGCAAAACTAATACCGAAGGACTTTCAAAGGAGATCTGACACGAGATTTTGGCCATAACAGGTAAAGTGAATATAAATCTACGTTTTGGCCGGTTACATAACTACTCCAGTCTTTATATAGATACAGAATTAAACTCTGAGTTGACCTTGTTACCAACTGATGAAATTATCTTGCGTTTGAACATGTGTTTCTGTCAATGAACGAAAGTATCTTAAATTTAACGATTTCTCAATGGAGTTTTGCTTTAACACTCAGTCCGCGGTCGCTTTTAAGCAGTCCCTAAAGCAAGCATTAAAAATGAAGGAAGACCCGCTTCCGGGCGGCTCGGGGGAGCCCCGGGACTCACCAGGTCTCTGGGGTTTTCCATCAGGTGGGGTCGTGAAAGGAGTACGCTCTCTGACAGCAGAACCCGCAGGAGCAATCATTAAAGACCAGCGGCAGACATGTCAACAAAACACCAACTGCTTCGCTGCGCAGGCGCTCGACAGGCTGACGCTGATTGGCTGAGGCTCCTGCTTCGTGTTATTTAATAAGAAATGATGAGTCCTCCAGGGACCCCTGCTGGTTTGACGGTGAAGCGCCAATAATGAGATAAATACGAACAGGTAAAACAAACAAAGTGTAGAAATAAACGGAACCAGGCTCAGGGAGGGGCGGGGCCATCTGCTGTGATTGGTTGGGGTGAGAGAAGGAAGACAGGATAAAGACATGCTGTGGAAGAGAGACAGAGGTTAATAACAGATATGATTCAGTGCAGAGAGGCCTATTAACACATAGTGACTGAAGAAGAAACACCCAGTGCATCATGGGAAACCCCGGTAGCCTACGTCTATTGCAGCATCACTAAGGGAGGATTCAGGGTCACCTGGTCCAGCCCTAACTATATGCTTTAGCAAAAAGGAAAGTTTGAAGCCTAATCTTGAAAGTAGAGATAGTGTCTGTCTCCTGAATCCAAACTGGAAGCTGGTTCCACAGAAGAGGGGCCTGAAAACTGAAGGCTCTGCCTCCCATTCTACTTTTAAATACTCTAGGAACAACAAGTAGGCCTGCAGAGCGAGAGCGAAGTGCTCTAATAGGCTGATATGGTACTACAAGGTCATTAAGATAAGATGGGGCCTGATTATTTAAGACCTTGTATGTGAGGAGCAGGATTTTGAATTCTGGATTTAACAGGAAGCCAAAACAGGAGAAATCTGCTCTCTCTTTCTAGTCCCTGTCAGGACTCTTGCTGCAGCATTTTGGATTAGTTGAAGGCTTTTCAGTGAGTTTTTTGGACTTCCTGATAATAATGAATTACAGTCGTCCAGCCTGGAAGTAATAAATGCATGAACTAGTTTTTCAGCGTCACTCTGAGACAGGATATTTCTCATTTTAGAGATGTTGCACAAATGGAAGAATGCAGTCTTACATATTTGTTTAATATGTGCATTGAAGGACATGTCCTGGTCAAAAATGACTCCAAGGTTCCTCACAGCGTTACTGGAGGCCAAGGTAATGCCATCCAGAGTAAGAATCTGGTTAGATACCATATTTCTAGGCTTTTCAGGGCCGAGTACAATAACCTCAGTTTGATCTGAATTAAGAAGCAGAAAGTTAGCGGCCATCCAGGTCTTTATGTCTTTAAGACATTCAGTTTAACTCATTGGTGTGTGTTATCTGGCTTCATGGACAGATAGAGCTGGGTGTCATCTGCATAGCAGTGTAAATGTATGCTATGTCTTCTAATGATGCTGCCTAAGGGAAGCATGTATAATGTAAACAGAATTGGTCCTAGCACTGAACCCTGTGGAACTCCATAATTAACCTCTGTGTGAAGAGGACTCTCCATTTACATGCACAAACTGGAGTCTATTAGATAGATATGATACAAACCACTGCAGTGCAGTACCTGTAATACCTACAGCATGTTCTAATCGCTCTAATAGGATATTATGGTCGACAGTATCGAACGCTGCACTGAGGTCTAGCAGGACAAGCACAGAGATGAGTCCACTGTCAGAGGCCATAAGAAGATCATTTGTAACCTTCACTAAAGCTGTTTCTGTGCTGTGATGAGCTCTGAAACCTGACTGAAACTCTTCAAATAAACCTCTGCAGATGATCTGTTAGCTGTTTGACAACTACTCTTTCAAGGATGTTTGATATAAAGGAAGGTTGGAGATTGGCCTATAATTAGCTAAGACTGCTGGGTCTAGAGATGCTTTTTGAGTAAAGGTTTAACTACAGCCAGCTTGAAGGCCTGTGGTACATAGCTGATCATTAGAGATAGGTTGATCATATTTAAGATCGAAGCATTAATTAATGGCAGGACTTCTTTGAGCAGTTTTGTAGGAATGGGGTCTAAAAGACAGGTTGATGGTTTGGAGGAAGTAATTATTGAAGTTAACTCAGAAAGATCAATTAGAGAAAAAGAGTCTAACTTAACATCAATGGTACTAAGAGTAGCTGTAGATAATATTACATCTGTGGGATGATTATTGGTAATTTTTTCTCTAATGATAAAAATTTTATTTGTGAAGAAGTTCATGAAGTCATTACTAGTTAACGTTAAAGGGATTGTTGGCTCAACAGAGCTCTGACTGTTTGTCACCTGGTTAAATATGCTGACGACACAGTTCTCCTGTCACTGCTGTCAGGCCCTCACAACACCACGGACCACGAGTTTGTAGAGTGGTGTGACAGCTCCAAACTTGAACTGAACGTGAGCAAAACCAAAGAGATGGTGGTGACCTTCTCCAGTAGGCAGAGAGATCTGGCTGCTTCAGTCACCACCACCATCCACGGGAAGCCAGTGGAGGTAGCTGAGGAGCACAAATACCTGGGAACCATCTTTGACAACCTCCTGAAATTCTCTGCCAACACAGAGGAGATTCTCAGGAGGTGCCACCAACGGCTACACCTCCTTAGGAGTTAGCACACCCATCATGATGACTTTTTACGATGCCTTCCTGGAAAGCACCATGACCTTGTCCATCACCTGCTGGTTCCACTCCCTCAGCCTTCATACAGGAACAGACTGCAGCACACTGCATCAGTGTGCTCTACAGTCATCGGCCTGTCAGAACTCTGGCTCAGGTTTTCAGCCAACAGGTCCTCAGACAGGCAGCCAAAATCATCAACGACCCCTCTCACATTCTTCACCTCACATTTCAGTGGCTCCCCTCTGGGCGACGCCTCCACTGCATTTCCTGCAGGACTGAGAGGAGGAGGAGCGCCACCTTTGTCCCTAAAGCAGCTCTGCTTTTTAACTCCAGCCGATAAGAACATTTCCCCCACCAGAAACAGAAACTACACTCTTCTTATACTACCAACTCTATACTCACTTACAGTTATTTATTCACCTTTCAGTCACTTTAATTTTAAAACTGTGTATATTCTGTGTATTTATTATCTCACTCTTATTGCCTGTTTGTGCCCTGTCCTTATCTTTAACATCATGCTGCTCTGTTGTATCTTAATTGCCGCTTGGGGATAAATAAAGTCTTTCTGATTCTGAATCTGAACGCAGGAAAGAGGCATGTTGTATAAAGTGCTTTAACTGCTCAGAGCAGAAAATCACAGTATGAGAACCAGTTAGCAGTTAGCATTTTCAGGCTGCTTTTCTTTTGACCTTTAAAGGTTTGTAAGGAGAGTCAGGCTGCTGCGATGTGTCCAGGCTGAGTAAACGCTCTCTAACAGTCTCTCTGTTGCAGGATCTTGTTGAGTTTTGATGGATTTGATTTTCCAGGTTGTAAATGAAGGTTTGGCTCTCAGGTTACAGGAGTGTGTGAGCCACACCATCTGCAGAACAAGTGTAAACCCGACGGCTGCTGGATGCAGCGTGCTGGGCAGGGCTGCCATCCTGCTCAGACCTGTTTCTGAATATCAATATTCAGAGCAGATTAAACCTGAGCTCCATCTGCTCCTGACACACTTGAGACAGACCGCCTGCCTCAGACACCCAGAACTCCAGAACACGACAGAGTTTGTTAAAGGAAGCTTTGAAGAAGCTGATGAAACTGAATTGAGATGATTTCTTGGCTGGTTCTCCGTGGCAGCAGAGCCGGCGGGTCGGTGTGTCCCAGCACGGCAGCTCCGGGCAGCGGCGGGAGCTCCTGTTTATCCAGAGAGAGAGCCGCCCTGCAGCAGCTGAACAGGAGGCTGGCTTCATACCTGCAGCAGGTAGGATGGAGGCAGCATGCTTCATTGTTCCAACTGAGATTAATGAGCAACAGTTAAAAGGATCTGAAAGACTTGGAGGACAAAAAAACATCTGATTTCTTTATAGACGTTTGCACTGCTTAAAGATTGATCTATAAAGTTCTGTGGCAGGAGGACAAATGATCCTCTCACGGCTGATTAATTATTGATTTGAAATTTTAAGACCACAATAAATCGAAATTAAATGGAATAATCATGAACCAAAGATTGTGTTTCATGATGTCACGTTTAAAACTAAGATCTGAAAGATAATGTTTCCCAGAGCTGTGTGAATGTACGCAGAGAACACGGTGATTCACTCGTACAACAGAATGACAGAGAATGTTTGTTTGTTTGTTTGTTTGTTTGTGCAGGTCAAGCATCTCGAGGCAGCCAATCAGAGGCTGGAGCATCAGATTGAGGAGGAGCTGGACAGAAAGTGTCCCCGAGAGTTGAGGTGGCTGGACGGACACCTGAGGACCGCCTCCCTGCTGCAGGGCCAGGTAGACTGTAAATAAAGGATGGGCATGGTCTTGCGTTGTCACAGTTCAGCATCTTTGTTGTCCATTCCTTTCAGTCCTTCACTTTTTCTTTCTTACATGCTCTGTCCTTCCTTTCTTATCAACTTGGATTTCCTGTGATTAAAACCAGAGATAAATCTGAAGGACTCTGAGGTGTTCTGCTGTTAACAGATGCGATATGTCAGAGGAGTCATAAAAAAAAGGAAAGAACATGTGCAGACAGCGAAGCTGGAAACAAACCTGATGTCAAATTTATTCTTGTTGCAGCTTGTCGCAGCTTTAGAGTCTCTGCAGTTCTGAGATAATTTAATGATGAAGTCCTCAGTCGAGCCCAGAGATTAAAACATTTACCAGTTCTGTTCCAAGTCAAAGCCAAACAATCTGATCCAGGCATCAACCTGCAGGCTGGAAAATGAAGCCAAACACTGGCAAAGCCTGCAGTTCCTCTAACGTCCACTAGAGGCTCCAGAAGTGAGTCAGTGCCAGAGGGCTCCCAGTAAAGGATGATCTGATATCGTCGTGTTGGTGTTGTTCCCAGATCATCATGAAAATGTTGTTCCAGGTTCAACATCGCAAGTGACCAATCACATTGTTGTGACGTTATTCTTTTGCGCGCCAAGCCACTCATGCATTTATGAAATTCCAATGTTGCAAGGACAATATCAGTTCTGCTCAGCGTTTATTAAAGGGTCAGGGTCCGTTGATCGGCGGACAGAGGCGGTTTCTCGCAGCTTAAGTACAGTTTTTGGTTTTACGGCGGTTTTTCCCGAAGTCGCATAAGTATGATGTCACAACATTCTGATTGGTCACTTGCAATGTTGATCCTGCATCAACATTTAGTATGATGATCTGGGAACAACACCAACACGACGATATCAGATCGTGCCCCAGTTAATCAGTTTTAACCTTACAATCAAAGGTTAAACGAGTTTCTCAGGTGGTGTCAGGATGCTGTACCTGTGTTTAATGGTCAGACGGGTTTGGACGAGTCCAAAATGTGACAGACTAAAAACCTGAACTTTGGCATGTCCTGTAAAAACCAGAGAAGTCATTAAGGAAATCAACCATTAATTTGTGATTTATTTGTGATTCTCCGCCCAGACGTTTGCACCACCTCCCACCACAGAATAAAGCTTCTCTCTGTCTCTCACAGATCAGTGAATGTCTCTCGGCCCAGGCTCAGGCAAAGCTTCAGTTACTCGAAGCAGAACTCACCGTCTTCAACCTCAAAGAAAGGTAGAGCCACACCAGCGATGTAGTCATACCTGCCTCATGGGTCTCTAATGCACGTCAGTGTATGAGTGCAGAGGCCTGTACGGGATAAAAACCATCACAGAGTCTGCAGAATGAGCTCAGTTTAAAATGCAGGTTTTCATCCCAACACGTTTATGTAACTGTCACACTTCTGTAATTTAACGTGACAACTAGAAAATCACGCGACTCCTCCATCATTCAAACCAGTCAAAGCTTCGCTTCATCACCGTGCTGTAGCTGCTAGCTGTCTGCTAGCTTAATCTGTAGTTCTGATAACTTAACGCTCCACCCTGTCGTCCAAGGATGATCACACCTACACGCAACAACATGGCTGTGGCCAAATATAGCTGAACAACTAAACAGGTAATTGAAGACGTGTCCCATGATCCTTTGCTGTGTGTGCAGGTGCCAAAAGGTGCGTGAGCAGCGTACTCAGCTGGAGGCGGAGCTTAGTGACCTCGGGCTGCTGGGGGAGGTCCTGAAAGTTCACAGTCTGCCTGAGCTTCAGAATCCTCTGAATGAGCAAAAGCAAGAGAAAGCGGATCTGCAGACTCAACACCAGCAGGTAAAACAATCTCACCTGGATGCTTAAAAAAACCTACACCCCTTTTCCTGCCTACCTGTGTAGGATATGCAGGTTCTTCTGGCCCAGATATCAGTGATGTGCTGAGATGCACATCACTGAGTCTTCAGACCTGATCCAACAGGTGGACCACCTGAGACAGACGAGTGTTGGACACCTGGACAAGAACAAGAGCAAACCCAGGTGCAAGACTCAGGTAGGCACATGCACACCTGCACACCTGTATTTTAACATAAAGGAAACATTAATAAGGATAATAATGCAAAAGCATTTTAACAGGTGTTTTGTGTTCAGCTGTCCATGCAGAGCATTTCACAGGTGACCTTTGACCCTTCATTGGGGTCAGACGCTGACAGAGCCGAGCTAGAAGCAATGAGGAGAGAAGTGTGCTGTCTGACAGCAGAACTGACGCGACTTCAGGCTGCGGTAAGATCAAACCACACACCAGCACTCCGATGTTCCGACCAGGAACCTGTAGGCCCACCTATGAGTTCCTCTGGTTCCTTCAGCCACATGTCATTTAGTTTTTTCCAGTCTTCTAGATTGGGTTGATGCTTTAGTTTAGCAAGATAATCTTCACAATAACACGTGTTTTATGAACTCCTCCCCCCAAAGAGCCAATCAACAGCTGAAGCCAAAAGCTGGTCAGACTAGAAACAACTCCAGAGTTTTCTCAAAGTCAGGACTAAAAGACAAAACCAAAACCATCAGAGTCAAGATAAAAAACAGGATTAGAATGAGTCTTCCTGTCTGTCCAGGTCTTGGTGTTGGAGTCCTCTGGTCGGGAGCAGAAGGAGTCATTACTCCAGCAGCTGGTGGTCCTACAGGAGTCAGCAGATGGTTTGTGCAGAGACCTGGACTCGGTGCTCCAGGCTGCAGCACAGCAGGCTGCAGACCAGCAGTCACTGCTGGACGTCAAGAACCAACTGGGGGCCGAGATACAGGACTACAAGCAGCTGCTGGACAGCGCGGACCGTCAGGGGTATGAGATGATGATAGAGGAATAGATAAATACGTCCCCTTTCAGTTATTAAAATTTAGTTTTTTGCTCTTGCCTTTGTCTTGTTTTATCTTTTTAGAGTTTCACATGTCGACTTTAACTCCAAGCCAGATGTCAGATCTTCCTGTCTTGAGGCCAGAAAACCCACATTCAGGAGCAACAAGACGGTGAACAGAACCGTCAGTGTTCATGGCGGCCGCGTTCACACTCTTGAAGAAACACCAATAGTTTCACCGAAAACAGCGACTGCAGCCCAGTCAGATTTTGTCCATAACAAACATCCAAATAACTCACCTAGAACACTGACCAAGCCTCTGATGGAGACCATCCAAAACTCTGAAAACCAGAGAACAGTAGTGCTTTATAAAAAAGTGTGCAAGTCCATCATATCTACAGAGACAGGCAGCAGACAGAGGAGCCCTGTGGAAGTTCTTACTAAAGATCGTGATGTTGGGGCTCAAACTAGCCGAGACGTGCGAGCTTTGGTCAAGACCTTTACTTCCAAACAAGCTGGTTCACTCTCTACTGACACAGGGACAGACATGGAAACTAACAAAAACACTCCTTCTGCAGGACCAGACGTAATTCAAAAAACACATTTTGTAATGTATGAGACCTCGTTTCATCTCTGCAAACCAGTTGCTGTTGAGGTAAAAGTGAGAGAAGCTTTCATCTTTACTCAGATGGATCCAATTGAAGCCTCCTTCCAAGCAAAGGAAAAAGATCCAACAAAGATCATCATCAGGGAGGCTGAGACTCCACCAGAAGCTGTCAGGGACATGGATGAAAATGTCAGTACAGTGCACAAGCCAGGATCTCCTCCAGTGTTTAGATCAAGTAAGGTTCAGGTAGCCCTTATGAAAGAAACCGATAAAGGAACAAATGGAAGGTCTGAAACAGTAGACACAGAAGATGTTCTAATCCTTGATCAGAGTTTGGGATTGTCCAAAACTGAACTGAAGAAACTCATAGAAGACAAACCTGCAGTGCATGACAATGAACATTTTTTGTCTAGTATCTCAGAAATTAATAACAAGCTTCACAGTAAAACTACAAGTGCTGAGAACGTAAAGGAAGAAGTAGACAAAGTAGAAGAACTCCATGACTGCAAGGAAGTGAAGATGAACCATCTTAAATCAGAAAATGAGCTGATAAATCTGCAAAGTCAGGAGATATATTTCAGTGCTACAAACTCAGAAATGTCTATAAGCCTAACTGATTCTGGTGTGGCTTTAAGTTCCTCCAGCCCTGAAGAGCATCAGAGTCCAAGAGAAGAGGAATCAATGAGTCCAACAAAGCCAGATGCATGCTTGAATCCAGAAAAGTGTTCAGTGAAGAGTTCCACTGAGCCAGAACCGGATCTCACACCAAACGATCCACACATATGTTTAAACCCAACTGAGGATATGACTGAGGTGGATGATGGGCTTGTAGACAGAAAGGAAGAAGCAGAAGATACTTTGATTGTCCTGAGTTTAGATAAAAGTTTAACAAATATGTCCAACAACAAACTTGTGAAGGATGCAGATTCATGGACCAGTGTCGGCATTTCTTCTCCAGAAAGCAAGGAAAACCAAAAGTGTTATATCCAACATACAGATAGTTTAAAGGCAGAAGTGGATGAAATGAAAACAGTCAACAATGCCAGCGAGTTAAAGCTGGATCCAGTCGAGTCTAAGAAGGAGACAGGTGATCTTTCAGGTGAAGAGGCGTCAAATATATCTACAAGTTTAACAGATTCTGGTGTCGGTTTGAGCTGTTCCTCTTACGAAGATCTACAAAGTCCAAAAGAAGTCCATTTGGCAGTTGGTGAAACAAATTCACCTAGCTGCTTGAGCCCAAAAATATGTGTGAGTCCAGATGAGACTGAGGTCATGCTAAACCTTACAGATCAGGTGTTTTGCCCAGTAGATGTGGAAGACCACATTGCAAGTCCTGATCTACTTCCGAGTCCAAATGACCCAGAAAATTACCTCAGCCCAAATGACTCAGACGTATGTCTCAGTCCAGATAGTGATGTAAAAGAAGAGGCAGGAAGTCTGAATCTAATTGAGGCAAATGCACATGTTCACCCAGGAGAGAAATTCATTCTGTCAACAAAAGAGGACGGACAGTCGGTATCGTTTAGTGGAGATGGGTCATTGCCAGAAGACAGAGATACGAAAGTCATAACGTCAGAGGGAAACCAGGGTGTGCTTTTTAGGCCATTTAAAGGTTATGAAGGAAGGGGAATTAAGCTGAATGGCACAAAGATAAGTTCTAGACCAACCAGTCAGAGAAGCAGCCTTCAGGTGAGCAGCAGTCATGGAGGCTCGGTGTTTGGAGATGGACGAAGTATCATAGCAGACAGAGAGGAACAGCTTGGTTTTGGAGGCCTTTATCGCAGAAGAGATGCAAGAAGGTCCAGAGGCAAAGATGTAAGTGGTCCTGCAGATGAAGATAAGATAGGAGGTGTGACTATGAATAGAGGTATGAGGGGGCAGAGAAACAGTGACTGGCAAGCGAAGAACCAAACAGGTAATGCCGAAGAAGCAAGCTTTGGAAATACCCCTTCCAACAGAGGAATGGCCTTTAGCAAGCCAGGAGGTTTTAGCAACAGTGGAGATGCACAAGTGGGTACAGCAGCGGTAAAGGGAAGATTCAGTGGAGACTTGATGGCTTATGGTGGCTGCTTGGGACATATGAGTGTCAGCTTACCTAACTCAGGGAGCAAGGAACATCTTCCAGAAGACGGGAGATTTGGAAGTAGGGGGTGGATGGTTTATGGTGACAGTCTTATACGCCAGAACAGCTTAGACGCTGGGACTAGCTTACCCAATGAAAGGGGTGGAGAAAACTCATCCATGAATGGAAATCTTGTGACAAGTCCACCAGAAGCAGGGAGATTTGGGAGGAGAGGGAGTGCAGAGTGGATATTTTACGAAGGCAGTCTTGGACGTAAGAACAGCTGGGCTGGCAGCGATAGCTCGCTGAGTGCTGAGAGCAAAGAACGCCTTTCACCTGCCACAAACTCAGCCACAACCCCACCAGGAGCTGGGATATTTAGCTGTGGGGAGTTGAAGGTTTACGGTTGGCATGCTGGATGCACGAGCAGCGATAGCAAAGACTGTCCCTCAGCAGCCACACACATAGCAACAAGCCCACCAGGAACACCAGGAGCAGGGAGGTTCAGCAGTGGGGCGTGGACAGTGTATTGTGGGAGTCCTGGTCGTGTGAGCAGAGCTGATAGTGCTGACAGGGTCAGCAGCAGCCAGATGGTCAGTCCTCCCAGCAGCTACGTCAGCAGTGGGCGTAGACTCAACAGTGCTGGAAGTGGTGGCAGGCTGAGCTCGGCCAGTGTCGTGAGGCGCAGCAGCAGCGTGGGGAGATTCACCGGCACGGGCAGCGGCGGATGGAAACCTGTTTACAGCTCAGCGAGTGGGCACAGCGTGGGGAGTGCAGGGTGGGGCGGGGGAGAGAGGACAACCAACAGGCAAAGAGCTCCGAGCCCCGGGAGGAGGATCAGGGGCAGTGGGGGGTGGCTAAGCAGTTCAAAGGCTGCTGGGAACCGGATAACCGGCGCAGGAAGCGGATCCAAAGTCGCTGGTAGCAGTAATAGACTCAGCAGTCATGATGGAGGGAGGATCAGCAGTTCAGGGAGGACCAATAACACCGGGGGCAGGGTCATCAGCAGCAGCGATCGGCCAATCAGGAGCACGGGAAGCCAAGCCGGAAGCAGCAAGGAGAAGATCAGCGTCTGCAAGATGGCGGCACTAACGATCTCAGCTGCAGGGAGGGAGAGAAGTCAGGAGAGACAACGACAAGCTCAGAGAGCCCGACAACCACGACAACAACAAGAACAACAACAGCAACCATGACAACAACAACAAGAACAACAACAAAAGGCTGCAGGTGAGATCAAAGTTGCAAAGACAACAATACAAACACATCTGAGGAGTTCATGTCCAGCATGAAGAGAAAGTAATGCAGGCGACACGAGCAATGACCTGATCTGAAATAAGAACATCGTTGTGGGGTCTTTACTTTTCAGTATTAAGCAGCGTCAGGTGACTGCTGTTGTGATTCGGTGGCTTATAAATAAAGCTGA